CATACATATGTTGTACCTCGTTCCTTTCCTTCAGGGAACAGTAGTTATATGCATAACATTACGTTTTTATAAGCAGCCCTCGAAAGGCCAGTACTCTATGGGAAACACTGGAAAGGTCTAAAAAAGGTTTTTGAAGATGTTTTTTGATAAAACAATCGACTGACTGTGAGTGACTCAGTCTGCAGTGTTTGCATCTGCTAAATCAGATGTCATATACAGTATTATATACCTTTGTATAACCATGTTAATAGTTTTGTAAAACAAATACAGTACACGTTTTTCTTATATTTTATCAAATTTTGAACATTTTTATTTTGGGCAGGTAACTTTTCATGTCAAACAGGTGACATTTTTCGTCAACTGCCCGACAGGGCAGGTAAAGAAACAAATCTTGTCGAACCCTGGCTGTACTTATGTATATACCATGTGTCTTATGTGTATGTTCACTACTCTCAGTCACACCTTATACTAGCAAATTGAGCTTTTGAGAATCCAAGAAGATATTCTAGATTAGCAGCTGCCAAAAGGCATGGATGAGGCAGCTAAACAAAGTTGGACATGTTTCTGTTGGTGCATATCTGGTCTTTTTGAGCTGTTGTATTTGTTTATTTATTTTTCAGTGTGGGAGAGAAGCCAAAGAACCCCATGGTGGAGCTTTTCTACGGGCGCTTTCTTGCTGTGGGTGTATTAGAAGGTGAGATGATATTTTCAATTTAAAGCATTAAAAGAGAGACTGGGGTAGCTGGAGAACCACAGAAATAAAAGCTTTGGCATGGTTTCATGATAGCATTCACAAAGCAAGAGAGTCTTTGCTCCAAGTAATGAAAGGTGACTTTGTCTTGATGAGATGTCATCCATGCAGAACACCAGTGCAGCTGCACTGATTGTCAAAGACCTTGGCATTGATTGACGTTGTGTTGCATGAATAAGTAGGTCCTCTGGATGGGTTCTTCTTTAGTGAAAAGTTTCATCTCTCCTCCAAGAAACTTCTTCAGTCTGATGAGTTTCAGGTGAGCTCAGTCTTATAAGCACTGCCTCCACCTGGTGGACAAACAGGTTGATCACATGCAAAAGAGGACCATCAGCCAAACAATAGGTCGTTAATTCCTTGATTGGCTCTGTTGTTCATAGAGGATCATGTGCCCCATCACCTGACTATCGTTGGGGCCCTGATTCACACCTTTAGCTTCTTGGAAGAGACTGAAGAAGTCTCTTGGAGAGACGAAATGTTTCATTAAAGAAGAACCCGTCCAGCGGACATAGTTATGGTGCGTTCCAGTAGTCCTGGGAAGTGGTAATTTCCCTGTTCCCATTGGTAGATTTAAACTGGAATCCAGTGGTAATATTCCACTCGTATAGTGGAAGAAATGCAACTGATTCCAGTTTCGATTTCAAGATGGCGGCTACTCGCAGCTTTAGAAAGTTAATGCCGTAACTTTTACTGTTAAATCTTTTTTTTTGTGCATGTTTAATCACTCACACAAGTAGTGTGTTTTCTGTGAAATACTGTACATATTAAAACCAATGTTTATTTGTGTGACGTACGTAGTAGAGCTCTCTTTTTGTCATTGTTTTTATTGTAGCAGTGTTGTAGCTAGGTTAGCGGCAGCAATACAATCGCCTGTCGGCTAACTGGAATGTTTCATATGGTTTGTTGGGAAATGTCATCATTACCATTTACCAGTTCCGGGAATACAATGTAAATGGAACGCACCATCATTATTATTATTATTATTATTATTATTATTATTGTTATTGTTATTGTTATTGTTATTATTATGATTTTTCTACCTGGATTACTGAGATGCATCAGGACGTTTTGAACCACTTTGGCCAGGATTGCCTGAAACTTTGAGAGTTTGAGCAAACCGCAAGAAAGAAGGCGGACTACAGAAACCATCTGAGATTTAATCTCTGTTGCAGACAGAGTGGCATCTTTCCTAAGAGCCTTTAACTTAAACCGTCTGTTGGTGGACAACGGGCAAGTAAGATCCTAGAGAGGGCACAGACCCAGCTTTTGAACGAATGAGTAAGACAGACCAACTTCACTATTGAAGCTGTAGAAGCCAAAGAACATGTCCGACAAGAATTAACAAAACATCTAGATCAGACCACATCCCAACAGGTTATGGATTTTACAGAAAAGGCAGGTTTAGCTCAGCATATCAAGTCCAAGACCGACAACAAAAGAAGTTCACTTTACTGGTAACTCGACAGTCCCTTCGTAATTCCAACAACTCACAGAAGGTSGAACAACACACGGGAGCACAAGCAAATGCCAGGAAGACAGAGAAGTGGGTGAAGAATTTATCTGACAGGCAGTTCATCCAGCCAGAAACTGAAACCCTATCCAGAGCAATGCTGGCTTTTAATTTACTGTGAAAAACCTGTTTTCTGTGAGAATCTGTTTATATATTCCCCAATAAAGGACCATCATAAGTTTGTCCTATACAGTTTCATCCCTAATTATAGTAGAGTGTTACCTTTTTTTGACGTTTCATTTATTTATGCCTTTGTACTTGTATAATTTTACAGGTAAACAATTTGAGAACACTGAGATGTTTGGACAGTATCCTCTGCAAGTGAATGGCTTCAAAGACCTCCATGAATGTCTTGAGGCTGCAATGATCGAAGGAGAGATTGAGTCTCTGCATTCAGCTGAGAATCCTTCCAGATCTGGTCAAGAGGTCAGTGCAGAAAGATGGAAATTGTCTTTCTAAAACAGTGTTTTGTCATCAGTTAATATCTTTTTAATCCTCTATTATCAATTACAAATTTACTATGCAATTAAAATTATGTTTTTAAATTCATGTTTAAGTAGTTTAACCAGTTACAGTCAATACTCTTGCATTGCTGTTGTTCAGTCCACTGTTTTGAACAGAAGTCAAACCTCACAGATGAAGAGTGGAAGGAATTAAAAGAAACTAGACATGGGTTTTTACGATGTAAAAACAAGTGTGCATTGCCATGTAGCACGTCATTGCAGTATGGCTTTGCCTGCAGCATTGGACTGGCAGAAGGAACTTTAACCAAGTTCAAATGTGTTTTCTATACCAGCTTGTGCCTGTCACGTCAGTAGATGTTTGTAATTAAGGTAATGGTGTGACAATATGAAGTTGGAGGAGATTTGTTAAAGTTGCATTAGTTGGGTTTTGAACCCTGATCACCCACATGAAAGTCCATGACATAGACCATTAGACCAATGGAGCTGTGGCAGAAGATGGTGGCAGGGGTTGGTTTGTATGTGTGCAGAAAGAGGCCACATTGCCAATACAATTATTGACACACAAATGCATAATATTACAACAGTAGAGCAGTATTAAGACAATATTATAGTAAAACATCAAAATACAATCATATTAGTGCTGTAAACACTGAACTACTGAGTTGAAATATTAAACTATGGTGCAGTACCAAGTTGAGTATTGGACCAATACAAGGCTCCATTGACTGCCATTATAATTCATTAAACATTAATATTTCATAAACTATACGTTTTACAGGCACCAAAAGGCATAGCCATCATTTGGCACAGGAGCTTTACAGATATAAATTACAATTGTAGCTCTAGGACAAAGTTTGCAGGAGGAGAAGCATGGCAAAGTTGAGATGACTTGGATGGGAAACGAATCACAATAGTATAACAATATGTGCCTCATGTTTTCATCTACAGCCTATCAACAGGGACATTGCACATAATATTTATTGCATAAACCAGAAATAGCTATGAGCTAATTTTCATCTGTTGTCCCTGAACAGAGGCAGAGTGACAGCAGGTTTAAAAGAAGTAAAATAATAATGAAAAAATCACTAGTAAGCCCCACACTATCTTTAAAATACAATAAAAACCTTAAAAATGCCCAACAGTAACTGTGAACCTGACGTAAATCTAAAATACGATTCAATAAAAACAATAAAAGCACGTAACAGTAACAGTGAACCAGTCGAGACATTAGATCAACAAACATTTCAGATTACATTATAAAAACCACATATTTGATGATCCTTTAACCATTTCTTTTCATTAAATTTAAAATGTTGTCTCAAGCATTAACAGGTAAAGAGTTCCACATCCGTGCTGCTTCTAAGCAGCTTCAGGCAAAAACATCATCACATTAGTCTACTTTTGAATAGGAAATATATCTGAACAGCTAGTATTTCTTTTTGTTTGCATTTCAATGTTGCCGATATTGGCTAAGAGCTTCAGCGCTCTTTCATTACTGTCCAGTTTTATATTGTGTTGTTTACAGTACCGTATTTTTCGGACTATAAGCCGCACCGGACTATAAGCCGCACCCCCAACATAAAAAAAACAGTACACCCAAATTTGCCGTCAAAAAAGTGAATTCAGCATCAAAACATAAAAAGCAAACCTTTAGGAATTAAAGTTCGGAGGAATATGGTTCATTTAACTGACCTTATTTTGGTAGTTTTCTTTAACAGTTTCTGGTCCAACAAAACATCTCATTCATCATCCTCCGGCGCACTGAAAACATCGAAATCCTCCTCTTCAGTGTCGGAGTTAAACAAGCTGAGAAAAGCTGCGTCACACAGCGGTATCTGTTCAGTGTTGCTTTCTGTGTGGCTGTCCTCCCGGGGTAATGCTGGCTCTGAAGCTGTGCTGGGAAACCCCTCCTGCTCCAGCATACGTCACTGCATGGGATTCCTTCCCCGGGGAGTGCAATGAGGGAAAAAAAAGTCCGCGGCTCTTCACTCGACGTTTATCAACAAACTKGTCCTGGATTAAGCTCCAAAGTTTTTATCAGTCAGATTCCACCGTGAAAAATGTCTGTTTTATCCCCTTTTATGAGTTTTTGGCCATTGACTATCTTTAAATTGCTGCTTCCTGGTACAACAGTCGGCTCTGGAAGGATCGCTTTTTTCTTTCCTTTTTTTTTTGAAGCGAGTCGTTGATGCAAATGGAGCATAAAAGCCCCATGGTGGCTGAAGAAAAAAATCCATGTATAAGCCGCACCAGACTAAAAGCCGCATGGTTCAAAGTTCAGGAAAAAAGTCGCGGCTTATAGTCCGAAAAATACGGTAATTGTATCAGGGGGTGTAGATTTATGATGGTGATATTTGAGCTTAGTATGTAGAGCAGAATGCAGGTACCGCTCAGAAAATTAGAATATCTTATAATATGTTTTGTTAATCATTTCAGAAAGTGAAAAATATATAGATTAATTACACTTGAGTGAAACATTTCAAGCCTTTATTTTTTTGCATTTTGATGATTATGGATTACAAATCACCAAAGAAATTGGTGTCTCAGAAAACTAGAATATTGTGAAAAAGTTCAGTATTGGAAACTCATGCACCATAAAAAGTATTTGCTGACTCAGCTTGTCTCAGTCTAGTTTACATGTTGGTTAGATAGGACGTTCGTGAACCATCCAAATCTTGTGAAAGACACAATGAACAATAGGAACTGAGTCACAGACAGTAAAGGTCCATTTGTAGTTTTATTTTATTACTCCTTGCAATTTTGTAAATTTTCCTTCTTAACCACATAGACAATTGCTCCTTTTTCACAGAAAACAGGTAGAGCGATGAGTACAGCGGAAAGAGGGTTTCACTTGACAAACACATGGTTCTGCCCACATGATGTAACGACGTTGTCATGTACGGCATACGTGATGACATCAACTATAACTGTCAAGTTCAAAACACATAATCAAAGCAGTCTATACAACTTTAAGTAAGTTGACCTAACTTTCTTTAGGATTAATATTAAACTAGGAATGATCAGTTAAGAGCAGTGCTGGGCACAGCTAACCAAGATCTATACTAACATCTAAACTGCTTCACAAGTTTCTTAGTTCCACTGATTTTAAAAAGCTAAATTAATAAAAAAAAAATATGGTGGAAGCTAAAGCTAAACTGCTAGTATTTAACATATTAATGTCTAGTCCACCATGTGGAAACAAGAATAATTTTCTACTGCACTTGTCCACTTAGCCATCACTTTTGTAGCGAGTTGTAGGACAGAAACAGAAAGGGCGATAAACTGTTTCTGTCCTGCACTACACTTTTGACAAGTTGGGAAACACCAATCAGATTTAAGTGATATTTATTTATTCACCCATTTTAATCATATTTACTGAAGTGTGAGATCATATGATATGCAGGGAATTCTTACCTCTGGCCAAAAATACTCAAAGATGAGGAACCAGCTTTGTCTTTTATGGTAATTTATTACAAAGCACAAAGGTTTGTAAACAGTTAATAAAGGTGAAAAGGATTGTAGACTTGATGTTATACGTCTAGTTAAGATAAGGTCTGGATGTTTAAACCTTTATAGAATGACAATATATTTTCCCAAAGGAAATACTTTTCTTCTATTAATTGGTTGACAAGAGACCCAGGTTAAAACCTGTACGTTTTTGTCAATTTAGAAAGTTGTTAATATCTTGGTCAGATTGTTTATTAGTAAACTTGAATCTTACTGGAGAAGGAAGAATTATCAAGTTTGCCTATTCAACTTCATAGATTATTATAATAATTTTGAAAGTGAATCTATACAAAATGACTCTGCCTTTTTGTATTGTAATGACTCATTGAGTAAGGTGGTTGAAGGTCATTGACTGAAAACTGGATCAGCACCCAACTTATTTCAATACTATCTAAATATCTTCCAGCACTGGTTCACAGAACTCCCTCCTATGTTGACCTTCGAGTTGTCAAGGTTTGAGTTTAATCAAGCACTTGGTCGACCTGAGAAGATCCACAACAAGCTTGAGTTTCCCTCTATGCTCTACATGGACAGGTGATGAAAGTTAAGCACTGCTTGTCATTAAAACATTTGTTCTGGCTCTGTTTAAATAAAATGTGGTGTTAGACTGAAATTTCTAATGTTTCTGCCTTGCAGGTATGTGGACAGAAACAAGGAAATAACCAGAATCAAGAGGGAGGAAATAAGGAGGCTGAAAGAGCATCTGACACTGCTCCAGCAGCGACTGGAGAGGTAGACTTTGTCCACATACTGTATACTAAGTAACCCAAGTCAAAGTCCTGAGATCTCTGAAAAGATCTATGGGGATAGCTTTTCTCAGTCCATTTCCCTTCTTATTTGTGATGCCAAACTGAGTTATAGTTAGATTTTTCACTCTAACTGCACCTTTTCTCAGTCAAATATTTTGCCATTTCCACTTATTAGGGGTCCAAACCCGTTGAGCAGGGGGAATGCAACTGCAAAGCAGCAGTGTTTCCATGCATCCAGCAGAGCATGGAAACCTATTGAATCTGTTCTGCTTTTTATTATTATTATTATAATTAGAGATCCAAGCCCGCAGAGCAAGGGGAACGCAGCTGCAATGTGTTATTATTGTTATTATTATTTATTGTTATTTTTATGTTTTATTTTGTTGTTGTTATTTTCTTCTGTCGGGAAAACTCATACTGCAACCCAAACCGCAGGGACTACAGAAACGATTTTAACATGGTAGTAAAAAAAAAACTTATGAGTATGGAGGAGAAAAATATTCCAACATGTCAACCTATAGGGGGCCCTATAATCAGTGTATTTGTGTTTGGTTCTCTGGCTTCTAAACCATAAATCACAAAACTATTTAGCTTATAGCAATATAATCCCTGGACACCACTGAGTTCCTTGCTATAGGCCACGCCCATTTCTGCCTAATTTTTTTCTACAGTTGCAAATTTTACAAAAGCTACTTTTAACCTTCATTCAAACGTTTAAAATTCAATCTACATGCAACTTACCATTTTATATCTAGTTAGTATCCTGATTCTAAGTTTTGAAAGACATGTATAAAAATGTTAAAATATGTGAGTTACGCCTTCACTTACGCAAGCTAGCTAAACAGAAATTCTGCCATATCTTCCAAACTGTAGTACATAATCAGATGAAAATCATACACATAGTACATGACTCAGTCCTAAGTTGGTGGACCAAATTTGAAAATCATTGAGGTATATGGGGTACTATCAACCAAAACAAATTTTTTCTCAGAAACTTTGTCTCTTCTTGTATTCACCTCAAATAAAGTGGGCGTGGCCTAGACGGTCTTAATTGAAAAAAACATCTGTCATGGAGTCAATATCAGTTATTAAAAAGTTTTTCATAAAAATAGTGTACACTAACTGGTATATAATACAAAAAACTACATCAGTCCACCAATTGCTGGGTTGAAGTCACGTGACCCAGATGACGTGCAAAATTTAGATGGGGGCAAGACGTGATTTTCTCTGGTTCAAAATAGTGAAATGGATCAAAACAAGTAAGCCAATGCCGTTAATGGGCTGGTGCAGACGAGATATCGCAAAAAAAAATTGTGTACATTTAGGATCTGATCCATATTGTCTTAATAACAAAGACATATAATCTGGAGGATTTACCCGACATCGAGGCAATTGACATAACAAACTGTCTGGTGCTGCAGAGCTCGTATTATACAACAAGCCAGATAAAAGCTCCCAAAAGCCTCGAAGCTACAAATATTTAGTTTCAGGTTGGGTCAAACATTTAGGATCCAAAGAAGCTTTAAATATTTGTCATCTTGTTTCTGTCTGGGTGAGTAGTGAGTTGTGTTATAAGTAATTAGACAATGCTATCGCTAATGCTAACAACAAGTTAACCCAATACTTTTGTGTGCTTGGATCTACTTGTTAATCATTTATTTTACTTCTGTAAACCCAAATTCGAGTAACTGTCCAATAAACTATCTGAAAATATAATTTAAATTATACAAGCCTTACCTGTTAAGAAGTGGTCACTGCAAACTCTTGCATTGTCCATTTCCGCACCTTCTTTTTTTAGCCATAGATTGTTGATCCTATTTTGTCTTTTTTTTATTGTAAGTTTTTCAAAATTAACTCCCATGTGACACACTACTTTCGAAACAAAAAAAATATAAACTTTTGTCTTTCTCCAGATTAGGGCGGTCGGAACACGGCACAGAATTTAGGCATTTTGATGCTGAATCAACATAAGGAAATGGGGCTGCATTTACTTCCTGTGCCCCATCTGCATTTTGTGACATCAATACCACGTCATCAGCAACCCAACAATAGGTAGCACTAGTGTAAAGGAATAAGACATTTTGATCTGTAACTCCTGTATACTTAGCCCATTCAACAAAAACGATATTGCCTCTTAATTGTTCTGTATTTTTGATTAAGTTTAATAAGTTTCTTTAAACATTTATTGTTGTTTATGCAAAATGGCAAATGATTAAACCTCTCCTCCAAAGGTGCAACTACATTAAGCAGAAAACTTCTCATGTAGCACCTAGAGTAGTGGCTCTATAAAAGATGTGAAGGAAAATTTGTTTGGTTTTTCTATGACAGAGTTATGTTTACGCATATAAAAAGCTAGCTTGTAAGCATTAACAAAAATGACAGTCTTTTATGTGTTTTAAAACATATTCACATCCAACTCATAACATGCATCCAATAGATTGTCCTAGAGCAGTGTTAAAAAWTTCATATTCACCAAACTCTAAGGGGTGTAAAACATGCATCATGTATGTTTCTCAAAAATGCTAAAGCTAATTGTTAACAAATCTACTGCATTTGCCTAAGACCACAAACTGAGTTAGCAATAAGCAGTATGGTAAATGGAAAAAGTGGGAGTGGCTTGTGAATAACGCCACACAAAAATTGATTAAAAATCACACATTTGACCTACAGAGCTACAGGAGTGAGATCACGAAAGGTACAGCACAGATGAATAACTGGGGGTAATATTAAAAAGTCCAGATTGAAATGGTTTGAACAGGTCCAGAAGACAAACAGTTGGCATGTTGGTATAAGGATGTTATCATTGCAGCTGTCAGTAAAAAGACAAAAAAGGCCAAAGAGGACATATAGATGCAGTTTAAGAGACTTATTTCAAAAGACGTAGATCTGTTTATTTTTAGTTTTAAACTTTAAGGCCTCAAATGGACCTTATAAATAATTTTCATCATGCTACGACTGCGGTGCATAAGTCCACTGGGTGCTGGGGACGACGAGCCAAGGTCATCATGCATATGCAGGCTTGGACCCCTGTCACAACTGTATTACAATTCTAGTTTTCCTATTGTTTCTGTCTGTCTTGGTGATACATTCTCCTTTTTTGTTTCCCTCCAGGTACCTGAGTTATGGCTCAGGCCCCAAGAGGTTTCCTCTGGCAGATGTCCTCCAGTATGCCATGGAATTTGCTTCCAGTAAACCTGTGTGTACTTCACCAGTGGAAGATATTGACACATCAGCACCACCTGCTGGTACAATAGGACAGCAGTTACCACTACCAAGGCAGGTTAAACTCTGGACTTCTGAAGCCTCATGTATGAAAGAGTGGGCAGCTTTCATAACAAACTAATTAAAAATACTTAGATTTATCAAAYCATTCACATGCATGTTTCTGTATACTTTTCCTTTATATATTTGAAGTTATGTGGGACTAAGTTTACAAAAGACACGCCTTTATTTCAGCATGCAAATAGATGTAAATATTCATGTGATCTTTCTCGCTGCACAATCAAAATTTATGTCTAGATGCAACAAAATTCCTTTGCCATTTCAAATGAAAAAGAGAGTAAAGGAAGGCATTGCAAAGCAACACGTTCAGTTCAGTTCAATTCATTTATATRGCACTAAGTCACGACAAATGTCATCTCAGGTAGAGCTTGCATGTGTTGTGTTTATTATCATGAGAGACCAGACAAACACTTCAGAAAAGTTAATAAATTTATTACAGAGAAGTTGAACAAAGTAAAACTTTATTTATATAGCACCTTTCAAGACAGAAATCACAAAGTGCTTCAACAAACACAAATAAAAAATACACAAGGCAGATTAAACAAAAACAGATTAAAAAAGATGAGTTTTTAGCTGACCTTTACCAGAGTCCACAGAGTCTGCTGATCTTAAATTCAGAGGAAGACATTCCAAAGCCTTGGAGCCACAGAAAAAAGCTCTGTCTCATCTGATCATTAGTCTTGTCTGAGGAACAATCAGCATGTCTTTATCACAAGACCTCAGAGCCCTGACAGGAGTGTAGAAATGTAAAAGTTCAGACGTGTAGTGTGGTGTCTGACCGTGCACAGCCCGCCCGAGAACCTCCATCTTCATTTGAGAACATTGGTTTTAGACTAGTTGTCTTTATTCAGAGGAGCTACATTTTTTAAWCAAATACAAAATAATGTTTTTTACTCCTAGTTATTGAAAAACAAGGCTTGTTTTTATATTTACGGGGTTCTATTATAGCTAAATAGCTAGTGGTATTGAAAAAGGAAAAACCAAGAGGATAAAAC